CTGTCACATGGTTGCCCTCTTATGATGCTGCTGTCTTTTAATATATAATTATTCCTCTGCCGCTAGTTCGTTCCTCTCAGATTCTTCAGCCTCATCCTTCCATCAGTCCCAGTTAACGCCTCCAGCCCACTTCCAGTATCTGACTCCATATTGTCCTGATGCTGTAAGGGTGATGCCCCATGATCACAAAATGACCCCTCTAGAGTGCCAAGGACCTCATATTATGTCTGTCATTAATGTTACGTCACCCATTATAACAGTTCTCTTTCCTTTGTTCTCTTCTCTTAACTGAATAGTCCTGTCTTTAAGTATAACCCAATGTAAAGTCCTTTTCCTGCACCATGTTAAGGCTTCATAACAGGCATGTTTACTGTATGTGTTTGGAGAAATGACACAATCAATGGCCCAGAATTGTACTTTATATACTATGAATCTTGTGGTGCTTGAAAAAATACACACTGGCAAAGCCGGCCAGGATATATATATATATATATGTCTTTTTTGGAGCCCTTTTTTTCAATATTTATTAAAATGTCACTAGTTATTTAAACACACCCCTATCTGAGGATAATACAAGCAACCATAAAACGCCCTTTATCTGGAGAGCCATTGAAGCCCATGAAGAATTTATCCTTCCACAAATCTTTTCATCTGCTGTATTAATAAAGCTGCCACGTGTTTTCAAATTCAAGTTAAGGCACTATCTGTGCAGAACATTACACATATTCTTCATTTGCAGTATTTTATTTAAAAAGTGTTCAGAAAGACTGCATCAAATATGCTATATCTATATATCTATATAATATCAATATTGTTATTAACTTCAATCAAAGTCCATTTAAATAGCGGGCAAGACTTTCCAAGGTGTGAAAATGCTGCTGCTGCAGTACTGACTGGAAGTGTTGCTGATATCATGTCTACCATCCTCTTAAAATACTCTGTCCAACAATATCAGTCTCATGAAGAAAGGTGTTTTAACGCTGATTCAAAATAGCAGAGAAACATGCATTATTGTTCTCAGGAGGGGACTTTGACAGAGGAGTACTCAAAAAGTACACAGTAAGTACTTCATAGTACTTGTGGGAGTAGTTTCACTACTAGCCTACTGAGTCCAACAGGATCGATCTCACGAAGAACTAATGGCAGAAGAAATGATAACAAACTGGAGAGACGGCTGAGTTGAGCGCAGAATCGCTGCATAGTTTAAATCTCCTAACAATGTTGTCCATTTTAGACACAGGCCTTAATAACATTCATTTTGTGTCTTGGCTGTTTTCGTTGTGAAAACAAATGGACCGTAGATACACGGATTGACCGTCCTCATCTGCGCTCTTATTTTGAAAGACAACTTCCGGTAGCAGAATATGAAAAAACGGGGGGTTTTTTTGTTTCTGTTTTCTAGTGATTTTATTTTTTGTTTTGAGAAGTAGAAAATGAAAATCATCCCGTTTTTTAAGTTTAGTAAATCCCTTTTTGACCGTGATAAAGAAAAACGCCTTGTATTTCAATTTTGGTTTTTCAATTTGAAAACGAAAATCCAGTCATTTTTTGTTTTTGAATTTCCATTTGTGAAAAGAAAATCCAATGACCAAAACATACAGTGACCCTATTCAAACTTGACTTTTATTTTTGATATCTTTTACACTTCTTGAGATAATTAACTTAGTTTGGAGCTTGGTAAAGAGGCCTTTTTCAGATGTTAACATTAGTGTGGATGGAGCAGCTCGTTAAGGCCCCGGCTCCATGAGGACAAATACGGGTTGAATCCGCATATTTCTCATGCGTATAGCCCTCTAAGCTCGACGACGCCGTAAGGGAAACGTAGAAACAGACCCCGCAAACGACAACGGGTCCAAAGGTGGATAGATCTGGGAACGGAGCGCTCTGGGGGGTCCAACGGGGCCGTGGAGTCGCCTATACGGTCCATTCGTTTTCATAGCCCGCCTCTCCCACCTCTCCCCCCGCCTCTCCCCCCCTCTCCCCGCCTCTCCCCACGCTCTCCTCCCCCCTCTTCCCACCTCTTCCCCACCTCGTCCCCGACCGCTTCCCAGCGGCTCTCCCCGCCTCTCCCGCCTCTCCCCCGCCTCTCCCCGTCTCCCACCTCTCCCCTCCTCTCCCCACCTCTTCACCAGCCTCTTCCCAACTCCTCGTCCCCCACCTCTTCCCCACCCTAGTCCCACTCTCCCCACCTCTTCCCAGCCTCTTCCCCACCTCTCCCCACCTCTTCCCACACTCTTCCCCACCTTCTCCCCGCCTCTCCCTGCCACCTCTCCCCACCTCTTCCACCCAGCCTCTCCCCACCTCTTCCCTCCTCTCCCCACCTCTTCCCACCTCTCCCCACCTCTTCCCACCTCTCCCCACCTCTTCCCACCTCTTCCCTCCTCTCCCCACCTCTTCCCACCTCTCCCCACCTCTTCCCACCTCTCCCCACCCCCCACCTCTTCCCTCCTCTCCCCACCTCTTCCCGCCTCTCCCCACCTCTCCCCACCTCTTCCCACCTCTTCCCACCTCTCCCCACCTCTTCCCACCTCTCCCCACCTCTTCCCACCTCTTCCCTCTCCCCACCTCTCCCCACCTCTCCCCACCTCTTCCCGCCTCTCCCCACCTCTCCCCGCCTCTCCCCCCCTCTCCCCGCCTCTCCCGCCTCTCCCCACCTCTCCCCGCCTCTCCCCACCTCTTCCCGCCTCTCCCCACCTCTCCCCGCCTCTTCCCACCTCTTCCCACCTCTCCCCACCTCTCCCCGCCTCTTCCCGCCTCTCCCCACCTCTCCCCGCCTCTCCCCGCCTCTCCCCGCCTCTTCCCGCCTCTCCCCACCTCTCCCCACCTCTCCCCACCTCTTCCCAACTCTTCCCACCTCTCCCCACCTCTTCCCACCTCTTCCCACCTCTCCCCGCCTCTCCCCACCTCTTCCCACCTCTCCCCACCTCTTCCCACCTCTCCCCGCCTCTTCCGCCTCTCCCCGCCTCTTCCCGCCTCTCCCCGCCTCTTCCCGCCTCTCCCCGCCTCTCCCCGCCTCTCCCCGCCTCTTCCCGCCTCTCCCCGCCTCTTCCCGCCTCTCCCCGCCTCTCCCCACCTCTTCCCGCCTCTTCCCGCCTCTCCCCGCCTCTCCCCGCCTCTCCCCACCTCTTCCCACCTCTCCCCGCCTCTCCCCGCCTCTCCCCGCCTCTTCCCACCTCTCCCCGCCTCTCCCCGCCTCTCCCCGCCTCTTCCCACCTCTCCCCGCCTCTCCCGCCTCTTCCCGCCTCTCCCCGCCTCTCCCCACCTCTTCCCACCTCTTCCCGCCTCTCCCCGCCTCTTCCCACCTCTCCCCACCTCTTCCCACCTCTCCGCGTACCCCGCATCATTGCTGATGTGTTTCGCTAACAACAACAATGGCGGATTGCAGGGTTGCTATCGTGCTCCAGTCGCTACTGACCATGCTACAGTTCTTTGTGCAACATCTACAGGAGCTCCTCCTTGAATTCAGATTATTTATCTTTATCTCGATATGGACATAAACGCGAGTGAAGTCTAATCTGACAGGACGGAGACACGCAGCTCCTGCCGCTGTGATGCAGCGGGAGCAAAACACACACTTCAAGTCAGATCATCACCCTTAGCTATTTTAATGACCTCTCAAACTAAACTAGTTATAAATATGTTCATTTTTACTGTCGGGTCACTCATTACAGGATCAGCTGCTGCATGAGACACTGACGCTGTCAGAAGAGAGGAAAAAGAGACAGCCTCCGTGTATTTTATTATTATATATCATTATATCGTCGTTATTCATTTGTTTTAAAGCTCAATAAATAACAATGAAGACCTTTTATCATTTTGTCCGGAAGATTTAAACTTTAACACACGTTGACCGGCGAAAAACTCTGCCCGGTTCCGTCGGCCCCCACCGCGGAGAATACACAGAAGTGCAGCCATGACAACCATTCTTCTTCGCTGCTTTTGTGGAGGAAGTTACAGCGCCACGTACAGGCTCGGCATATGTACTGCAGCTTTTCCAGCGGTTGGATGTAAACGGAGCCGTCTCGTGGAGCTTGACACAATCCGGTGTATATTGCGTGGGGACGGAAGGTTTTTTGCGGTTGCGGTTGCGTTACTCCGATGCGTTTTGCCGTTTTCGTGCTCGTGGAGCCGGGGCCTAAGTCTAGAGTGCTTTGATCTCAAAACAGAGTGCAGCAGTGCTCCCCAAAGAATGTTTTAAACTTGCCATAATTCCCAAACCCTACACTCCTCAGACATATTTTTTCATGAAAAACGTAGGAAAACCTCTCCTAGGTTGGAAAATTAAAAAAAATTAAGAAGAAATATTAAACAAAATGCCTCTTGAGGGCATGAAGAGACAAAAAGTCCACCTAGCTCCCAATTGATTCCCATGTTAAATCTTTCCGGAACTTTCTTCAGAACAGAGAGAAGTACACTTTAGACAAACTGCTCCCATCTCCACATTTTACACACAAAACCAAAAAACACAACATATATCAGTTCATTGGGGTTCCCTGATGCTCACGGTCTGGTCATTTTTTGATAGGAGCCATAGTTTTTGAACAGGTGGCAAAATTGTCAGATATAATCCTCAATGCATTCTTAATGGGACTCAGTGCTGCAGTTGGAAAATGGTCATAAGTCGTCACCATGGTAACCTTTCATCTCTGGGTTTACACACACAGGTGTTTGTAAACATTCATTCACTACTACTTACATTTAATGTCTTTATTTAACTCCTTCAGCCTAATTTCAGCTGCAGGAACCATTCAAATATCAAACTATTCAGCCTTTTCAGCACTTGATGGGAAACTTTCAACTTTCAATATGTTATACTTTTTAAAACATTCAGCTTTTTAAAGTCTTTTTTTAACATGGAAGTCATTGCAATGCATTTGAGCTGTAACAATTCACACACACACACTGCTTCCCCGCAGCGAGGCCCCCCCCGCCCTCCTGTTGATAGTCAAGAGCGTCAAGCTTCTCAAAACCCCCCCCCCCGATCGTTGGCACCCTGATAACAATTAATTTGTTTGTGTGTGTGTGTGTGTGTGTGTGTAGGTCAGGAGCAGAAGGAGAGGGAGGCGGAGCTTCACTCCCCCACACACATCGACGTGGACCGGAAGATTTCCTTCTGGGCGAAGTTTCTGGAACTTCAGGTAGGACCCTAAATCATCACGGTCTTATCGTCCAATCAGACGGCTCCTGTGTGATGATGATGATGGTGCTGATGATGATGTGTTGCCATGGCAGTGGAAGATGCTGACGGTCAAACAGGAAGACTCGGAGCACAAATACAGCTCCGCCCCGCTGGAGTGGATCACCATGGAAACCAACATCGCATACTGGCTGCACCCCTCCACCAATGTAACGCACACACACACACACACACACACACACACACACACACACACACACACACACACACACACACACACACACACACACGTGTAATATTCAGTGAAATGACGAATATTGTCTTCATTGTTTGAATAAAGGTTCACAGTTTGAATATGGTCTCTCTCCTGTGCTGCACTGTGATTGGCTGTTCAGGCTCAGATTCATCTGATTGGTAACCCGGTGTCATGGGGCGTGGCCAGCCTCAGCCTGCTGGCCTATCAGCTGCTGGCTGCCGTCTACCTGCTGAGGAGGAGGCGGGGCTTCAAAGACCTGCCGGATGGTACACACACACACACACAGACACACACACACACACACACACACACACACACACACACACACACACACACACACACACACAGACAGAGACACACACACACACACACACACACACAGACAGACAGACACACACAGACAGACAGACAGACAGACAGACACACACACACACACACACACACACACACACACACAGTAGAGCAGGCGCCCCCTGCTGGAGGTTAGAGAGAATGCAGATTTAACTTCAGGAGGCTTTATATATTTCTTACAAATGAATAGTAATTAATTAACTGTGTGTGTGTGTGTGTGTGTGTGTGTGTGTGTGTGTGTGTGTGTGTGTGTGTGTGTGTGTGTGTGTGTGTGTGTGTGTGTGTGTGTGTGTGTGTGTGTGTGTGTGTGTGTGTGTGTGTGTGTGTGTCCAGCTGCGTGGTCTCGTTTCCTCTCTCTGGGATGTGTGTGTGTCGGAGGTTTTCTGGTGAACTTCGTCCCCTTCCTGCTGATGGAGAAGACCCTTTTCCTGTATCACTTCCTGCCCGCCCTCTGCTACCTGCTGCTGCTCGGCCCCCCCCTGCTGGAGCACACACACACACACCTGCTCAGGTACACACACACACACACACACACCTGCTCAGGTACACACACACACACACCTGCTCAGGTACACACACACCTGCTCAGGTACACACACACACACACCTGCTCAGGTACACACACACCTGCTCAGGTACACACACACACCTGGTTATAATTACTTGCATTATTCATTATTTTGCTAAATAATCTATATTACTGTGTGTGTGTGTGTGTGTGTGTGTGTGTGTGTGTGTGTGTGTGTGTGTGTGTGTGTGTGTGTGTGTGTGTGTGTGTGTGTGTGTGTGTGTGTGTGTGTGTGTGTGTGTGTGTGTGTGTGTGTGTGTGTGTGTGTGTGTGTGTGCGCAGTGGGACCCCCCGCAGGGTTCTGTGTGTGTGTGTTCTTTTCGTCCTGCTCTCTGTCTTATTGGCGTTCCGGACCTTCTGCCCTTTGACCTACGGCAGCCCAGAGCTCTCGGCCAATCAGCTGCAGGCTCTCAGGTGGAGAGGCTCATGGGACATCCTGTACCGCCGCCGCTAGCCTGTCCCTGAACGCAGCACTGCTAGCCTGTCCCTGAACGCAGCACTGCTAGCCTGTCCCTGAACGCAGCACTGCTAGCCTGTCCCTGAACGCAGCACTGCTAGCCTGTCCCTGAACGCAGCACTGCTAGCCTGTCCCTGAACGCAGCACTGCTAGCCTGTCCCTGAACGCACCACTGCTAGCCTGTCCCTGAACGCAGCACTGCTAGCCTGTCCCTGAACGCAGCACTGCTAGCCTGTCCCTGAACGCAGCACTGCTAGCCTGTCCCTGAACGCAGCACTGCTAGCCTGTCCCTGAACGCAGCATGGATCTTCTAATGAGACTGTGATATTTAATGTAAAGTTTGATAGTTTTAAAGAATCTGTGAACAAAGAATGTGAATAAAGTTTTTTTTAAAGAAACAATAAGTGCCTTTTTTTTGAAGGAATGGAGGTGAGAGGTGCGTGACGATGACGTGTGAACAGAGAGGGCAAAGGACACACATCCTTTACTCAGGTAGAAGTACAGATACTCGTGTTTAAAAATACTCTGGTGAAAGTAGAAGTACTGACTAAACTTCTAAGTAAAGAGGCTTTGAAATGTACTTCAGTAAAAAGTACCCATAACTAGCAGCTGTTTTAAAGAGTACCTGAGCTCCCGCAGCTAGGGGGCGCCAGCCAGGTACCAGCCAGGTAGTTTCTGGAACTTCAGGTAGGACCCTAAATCATCACGGTCTTATCGTCCAATCAGACGGCTCCTGTGTGATGATGATGATGGTGCTGATGATGATGTGTTGCCATGGCAGTGGAAGATGCTGACGGTCAAACAGGAAGACTCGGAGCACAAATACAGCTCCGCCCCGCTGGAGTGGATCACCATGGAAACCAACATCGCATACTGGCTGCACCCCTCCACCAATGTAACGCACACACACACACACACACACACACACACACACACACACACACACACACACACACACGTGTAATATTCAGTGAAATGACGAATATTGTCTTCATTGTTTGAATAAAGGTTCACAGTTTGAATATGGTCTCTCTCCTGTGCTGCACTGTGATTGGCTGTTCAGGCTCAGATTCATCTGATTGGTAACCCGGTGTCATGGGGCGTGGCCAGCCTCAGCCTGCTGGCCTATCAGCTGCTGGCTGCCGTCTACCTGCTGAGGAGGAGGCGGGGCTTCAAAGACCTGCCGGATGGTACACACACACACACACAGACACACACACACACACACACACACACACACACACACACACACACACACACACACACACACACACACACACACACACAGACAGAGACACACACACACACACACAGACAGACAGACACACACACACAGGGTTTAGATAGTTCACTTTAGTCTCAGTTATCTCAGTGAGGTAAAGGACTCTCTGAGGGTTCAGATAGTTCACTTTAGTCTCAGTTATCTCAGTGAGGTAAAGGACTCTCTGAGGGTTCAGATAGTTCACTTTAGTCTCAGTTATCTCAGTGAGGTAAAGGACTCTCTGAGGGTTCAGATAGTTCACTTTAGTCTAAGTTATCTCAGTGAGGTAAAGGACTCTCTGAGGGTTCAGATAGTTCACTTTAGTCTCAGTTATCTCAGTGAGGTAAAGGACTCTCTGAGGGTTTAGATAGTTCACTTTAGTCTCAGTTATCTCAGTGAGGTAAAGGACTCTCTGAGGGTTTAGATAGTTCACTTTAGTCTAAGTTATCTCAGTGAGGTAAAGGACTCTCTGAGGGTTCAGATAGTTCACTTTAGTCTCAGTTATCTCAGTGAGGTAAAGGACTCTCTGAGGGTTCAGATAGTTCACTTTAGTCTCAGTTATCTCAGTGAGGTAAAGGACTCTCTGAGGGTTCAGATAGTTCACTTTAGTCTCAGTTATCTCAGTGAGGTAAAGGACTCTCTGAGGGTTCAGATAGTTCACTTTAGTCTCAGTTATCTCAGTGAGGTAAAGGACTCTCTGAGGGTTCAGATAGTTCACTTTAGTCTCAGTTATCTCAGTGAGGTAAAGGACTCTCTGAGGGTTTAGATAGTTCACTTTAGTCTAAGTTATCTCAGTGAGGTAAAGGACTCTCTGAGGGTTCAGATAGTTCACTTTAGTCTCAGTTATCTCAGTGAGGTAAAGGACTCTCTGAGGGTTCAGATAGTTCACTTTAGTCTCAGTTATCTCAGTGAGGTAAAGGACTCTCTGAGGGTTCAGATAGTTCACTTTAGTCTCAGTTATCTCAGTGAGGTAAAGGACTCTCTGAGGGTTCAGATAGTTCACTTTAGTCTCAGTTATCTCAGTGAGGTAAAGGACTCTCTGAGGGTTCAGATAGTTCACTTTAGTCTCAGTTATCTCAGTGAGGTAAAGGACTCTCTGAGGGTTTAGATAGTTCACTTTAGTCTCAGTTATCTCAGTGAGGTAAAGGACTCTCTGAGGGTTCAGGTAGTTCACTTTAGTCTCAGTTATCTCAGTGAGGTAAGGACTCTCTGAGGGTTCAGATAGTTCACTTTAGTCTCAGTTATCTCAGTGAGGTAAAGGACTCTCTGAGGGTTCAGATAGTTCACTTTAGTCTCAGTTATCTCAGTGAGGTAAAGGACTCTCTGAGGGTTCAGATAGTTCACTTTAGTCTCAGTTATCTCAGTGAGGTAAAGGACTCTCTGAGGGTTTAGATAGTTCACTTTAGTCTCAGTTATCTCAGTGAGGTAAAGGACTCTCTGAGGGTTCAGGTAGTTCACTTTAGTCTCAGTTATCTCAGTGAGGTAAAGGACTCTCTGAGGGTTCAGATAGTTCACTTTAGTCTCAGTTATCTCAGTGAGGTAAAGGACTCTCTGAGGGTTTAGATAGTTCACTTTAGTCTCAGTTATCTCAGTGAGGTAAAGGACTCTCTGAGGGTTCAGATAGTTCACTTTAGTCTCAGTTATCTCAGTGAGGTAAAGGACTCTCTGAGGGTTCAGATAGTTCACTTTAGTCTCAGTTATCTCAGTGAGGTAAAGGACTCTCTGAGGGTTCAGATAGTTCACTTAGTCTCAGTTATCTCAGTGAGGTAAAGGACTCTCTGAGGGTTCAGATAGTTCACTTTAGTCTCAGTTATCTCAGTGAGGTAAAGGACTCTCTGAGGGTTCAGATAGTTCACTTTAGTCTCAGTTATCTCAGTGAGGTAAAGGACTCTGAGGGTTCAGATAGTTCACTTTAGTCTCAGTTATCTCAGTGAGGTAAAGGACTCTCTGAGGGTTCAGATAGTTCACTTTAGTCTCAGTTATCTCAGTGAGGTAAAGGACTCTCTGAGGGTTCAGGTAGTTCACTTTAGTCTCAGTTATCTCAGTGAGGTAAAGGACTCTCTGAGGGTTCAGATAGTTCACTTTAGTCTCAGTTATCTCAGTGAGGTAAAGGACTCTCTGAGGGTTTAGATAGTTCACTTTAGTCTCAGTTATCTCAGTGAGGTAAAGGACTCTCTGAGGGTTCAGATAGTTCACTTTAGTCTCAGTTATCTCAGTGAGGTAAAGGACTCTCTGAGGGTTCAGATAGTTCACTTTAGTCTCAGTTATCTCAGTGAGGTAAAGGACTCTCTGAGGGTTCAGATAGTTCACTTTAGTCTCAGTTATCTCAGTGAGGTAAAGGACTCTCTGAGGGTTCAGGTAGTTCACTTTAGTCTCAGTTATCTCAGTGAGGTAAAGGACTCTCTGAGGGTTCAGATAGTTCACTTTAGTCTCAGTTATCTCAGTGAGGTAAAGGACTCTCTGAGGGTTCAGATAGTTCACTTTAGTCTCAGTTATCTCAGTGAGGTAAAGGACTCTCTGAGGGTTCAGATAGTTCACTTTAGTCCTCAGTTATCTCAGTGAGGTAAAGGACTCTCTGAGGGTTCAGATAGTTCACTTTAGTCTCAGTTATCTCAGTGAGGTAAAGGACTCTCTGAGGGTTCAGATAGTTCACTTTAGTCTCAGTTATCTCAGTGAGGTAAAGGACTCTCTGAGGGTTCAGGTAGTTCACTTTAGTCTCAGTTATCTCAGTGAGGTAAAGGACTCTCTGAGGGTTCAGATAGTTCACTTTAGTCTCAGTTATCTCAGTGAGGTAAAGGACTCTCTGAGGGTTCAGATAGTTCACTTTAGTCTCAGTTATCTCAGTGAGGTAAAGGACTCTCTGAGGGTTCAGATAGTTCACTTTAGTCTCAGTTATCTCAGTGAGGTAAAGGACTCTCTGAGGGTTCAGATAGTTCACTTTAGTCTCAGTTATCTCAGTGAGGTAAAGGACTCTCTGAGGGTTCAGATAGTTCACTTTAGTCTCAGTTATCTCAGTGAGGTAAAGGACTCTCTGAGGGTTCAGATAGTTCACTTTAGTCTCAGTTATCTCAGTGAGTCTCAAACGTTTTGACCACAAATGATGTAAACACAAATTTCCAAGGCACTCCTTTATAATTATTAGGATCAATAAAAACAGGTTTGAAATCATTCCAGTGTATACTATAGGACAGAAAACCAGACATATCGTTTAAAGTTGGGTATATGCTGGGTTAGGGTTAGGGGGCATGCCTAGAGGAGGTGACGTCCACCCCACATTTCAAACATGTTCATACAATACTGAATACATTTGAAGCCATTTTGAAGTATATTACCATGTCAATAAGTTTCTGTTTTTGTAGTAGATTTGTCTTTTGTAGAGATTTTTCATTTATTCTTTTTATATCAAATCTCGCCTAGGGCAGCAAATAGTCTAGACCCGGCCCTGGTGCTACGTAGGCCTCAAGAGCCTTTCTTGTGCTGGCAGACACATAGAAACAAGTTGCCGGGGCGCACTTCGCACACACTAAAAGATCACATTATGCTGGGCTGGAGCTTTGATGGAGTCAGGACTCAGAGAGACACGAGGAGAGCTGGAGCTTTGATGGAGTCAGGACTCAGAGAGACACGAGGAGAGCTGGAGCTTTGATGGAGTCAGGACTCAGAGAGACACGAGGAGAGCTGGAGCTTTGATGGAGTCAGGACTCAGAGAGACACGAGGAGAGCTGGAGCTTTGATGGAGTCAGGACTCAGAGAGACACGAGGAGAGCTGGAGCTTGATGGAGTCAGGACTCAGAGAGACACGAGGAGAGCTGGAGCTTTGATGGAGTCAGGACTCAGAGAGACACGAGGAGAGCTGGAGCTTTGATGGAGTCAGGACTCAGAGAGAGACACGAGGAGAGCTGGAGCTTTGATGGAGTCAGGACTCAGAGAGACACGAGGAGAGCTGGAGCTTTGATGGAGTCAAGACTCAGAGAGACACAAGGAGAGCTGGAGCTTTGATGGAGTCAGGACTCAGAGAGACACGATGAGAGCTGGAGCTTTGATGGAGTCAAGACTCAGAGAGACACGAGGAGAGCTGGAGCTTTGATGGAGTCAGGACTCAGAGAGACACGAGGAGAGCTGGAGCTTTGATG